TTTCAAGCTCATTTAAACTTCATATGAGAAATCTTAGTTCTTAGAATTCAGCCTCCATATGTAACTCTTAGTTGTAGTATATTTCTTGAGAAAAATAGCTTTGAAGCTGTCAGAATGATTAGATAAGTAACCCTAGTTCTGGTTGAGTAATAATTTCTGAGATAAAAAGGAAACATCTTAAAAGAATACTTCCAATAGTGAAATATTTTCATGTTTAAAAAGAAAGTTAAAAGTATTCCTGTCCTTTCTATGGCTACCATCCTGCATTTCCCCATGAAAACAGCTTTGACTTTGCTGATTATAAAAAATAGCAAATCTACGTCAAAGATTTATTTAATATGGACATGTAAAGTAAGAATTAAGTCCTTTTGGGGGCTGGCCCCGTTGCTGAGTGGTTAAGTTCACGCGCTCCGTCGCCGTGGCCCAGGGTTTCGCTAATTCGAATTCTGGGCACGGACATGGCACCACTTATCAGGCTATGCTGAGGCAGCATCCCACAGGCCACAACTAGAAGGACCTGCAACTAAAAAGACATAACTATGTACCGGGGGACTTTGGGGAGAAAACGGAAAAATAAAATCTTTAAAAAAAAAAAAAATTAAATCCTTTTATAATGTCAAGAAGTAACTATAGTTAAAAATTTGGGGTATATTCTTCATATTTGTAAATACATGTATGAATATATATTTCAAATATAAATGCCATCATTCAACATGCACATTTTTCTACCTCAGTACATACAGTTCTGCCTCATCTTTTCATTCATTATGTAGACCTACCATGATTTATTTAATCACTTTCTTGATGATATACATTTAGATTGTTTCTGACTTTTTCTGTTATAAAAAGTGGTGCGGTGGACATTTTGTACATACATCATTACTTGTCCACTTATTTCCTTGGAGTAATAAAACTGTTGAGGCAAAAATATATGTATTTTTTATTACAAATTTTTATTTATAGCTTTTATGAAATTGAACTGCCAGAAACTTGCACCAGTTTATACTCCTGTCAGTAATGGAGAGTGTCCATTTCACCACACCTCCCTAACATTTCTAATCTTAACAACATCTTTGTAACTCTGGTAAATGAAAATATTTTCTTTCTCTTACATTTCTTTGGCTGTAAATGAGCTTGCACCTCTTATTGTATCAAGAAAGCAGTGCCATTTAAAAGGATCTGATCACTTTTGATTTGCTTCTTGGAATCGTGGTAGCACTCGAGAGATGAAAATTAGCAATTTTAAGTTATAGAGTCAGGAGAATAATTGAGTACCATATGGGTATAGAACTTCCCTCCTCCCCAAATTTGTTTCTTTATCACATACCACTTTCTTGAAACTGTGTGAGAAAATGATCCTTAACAGTTTCTAGTGAGCAAGAGTTGTTGAATAAGTGCCCTGTATTAACTCACTAAACCAAATATAAAATAATGTTTATTTTCCTCATTTAGTATGTGCACCATCGGAGTGTTTCTCAACCTTTTTGTTCATTATCACCTCCCAAGGAGCCTTTTTAGACATTTTCCCTCTAATTGCTCCCCATGATATTTTGATAGCACAGATATACTGTATATCTGTTTATGTACAGTGTCCCTTTGTAGGGCCATAAACCATTATAATATCTAAGATTTTCTTTTTACCCTCCAAAGAACCAATTTTCACCCCCTTTGGGGTGATGCTCCCTCCATTGAGAATGCATGATGTGTGTGTGTGTGTGTGTGTGTGTGTGTGTGTATTTGAGGGAGGAAGAGAAAAAGCTTTGCTATGCATGAATAGTTACTTCAGTTTCGTGGGACTCAGAAGAGGTAGGTGTTTCTGTTACTTTGTCAGGTCATCCAGGAGGGAACATTAGGTTTAATAATTGCCACCATTACTTCGCCACCCTATTATCAAACTCTAAACATAGTGTCTTGGGGTCCCTAAGTTAACTAGAATATTCTGGGTACAGTATTTCCATTCTTGAGAATGTTGATAAATATGACAAGGACACAATGATGTTATAGTTGAAGGCAATTTATTGAATTTAGGGAACGGTAGTCCTAATGCATTGGGAGTAATAGTAAATGTTTAAACCTCTATCCCCATGGTTCTCAAATAGTGGTGATTTTGCCTCCCAGAGGACATTTGCAATATCTGGGAGCATCTTTGATTGTCATAACTGGGGGAGTGGGTGTTGGCTGGTGGCATCTGATGGGTCGAGACCTGAGATGTTGCTAAACATCCGGGCGATACACAGGACAGTGTCATCATTGCCTCTCCCACCTCCCAATAACAAAGAATTATCTGGTCCAAAATGTCAGCACTGCTGAGGTTGAGAAACCCTGCTCTATCCTAATGATTCTACTTCTTGGAATCTATCTTTAAAAATAATCCAGAATACAGAAACAATTACATATATGCATAAAGATACTCACTGAAGCATTATTAACTTGATTTTTGTTTTTTTTGCAAAGTATGTTCTTTTAGAAAACTAATAAAAAAGATATAAAATTACTCACAGTCCTCCTCACAAGTAATATTGTTGGAATTTTGGTGTATATTTTTTTAAGTGAGCCATGTATCGCTATATATAGTTATGAAAAATGGGAAACAAACTTAATTGAGACTTAGGAAGAGATTTGATCACCTGTCAGCACTACATCAATTTCAGGAACACTGAAGAATTGGAAACCACTTTAGAGGTAGTTCTCTCACTCATTTTAGGAATTCTTTATACAACACCCTTCAGCTTCTCTTTGTCTGCTGTTTCACTTAAATCTTTTACTCTGAATAACTGTTCTCAAATGCCTTTTATGCTACCATAGAGTAAAAAAGTACAGGCATTTTTTTGATGAAGTTAACTTTTAGTTCTGTGTACCAGTAGAGAGGTAAATAATAACCCCATCCCTGGGGAGATTCTTTTATTTTTTTCTTTACTGTGATTTAATAATTTTAAGTTTATTACAGTTTATTAAAGTTTAAGAACAACTGGTAAAGAACTAGTAAAATATTGTTTATAAGTATGTGTGTATATATATTAAAAATATAAAACCAAGGATGGCAAGAATACACAGACAACCTCAGGATAGTAGTGACCTCTGACGATGGGAAGGGAATTGAATCAAGGAACAGTACAAAGGATCGTCAACCATATCAATAACATTTTATTTCTTAGAAGAAAAAGAATCTCAAACAAATATGGCAATTGGTTAAATCTGAGTTTGGGTACGCTGAGTGTTCTTTATATTATTCTCTTATTGTTTCTGAAATATTGCAAGGTTACGTTTTTTAAAGGTAAATGTGCTTTTCAGATTTGCTCATGTTTGAACTGAGGCTATATATAGAAAGATTTTTATAATAGTCACAATTTAGCAATGTATGTATAATAAAAACAGTAATGAATGACTTCCTTATAAGTACAACTAGTTAACTACAGCAAATAAAATGATTTCCAAGGGCTTTTCTCTCTTTGTTTTTGGAATGTTAAGTATTTTTTGAAGGTATTTAGGGTCTACTGAATGTTAAGAAAGGTGAATGGTTCTTGAAATTACTCAAGCAATGATTGGGGTGATTGAGTATGAGTTACAATTCCACAAGACAAGTTCATAGTCTCTTTTTTGCCCTGGTAACTTAACGTGGAAAACAGATGTATTTAGAAAGAAACCATATTATGCATTCAGATTTAGAAATCGGTTTATTTCTTACTAAGAGAGAAATGTGGTCTCCCTCAGCCTCTTGATGGTGATATTATTTTATGCCTGTTTCACAGATAACAAACATTGCAAAGTGTTTCGTTTTGGAAGAATTATTTACTTAAATCCAGTAACTGTTAAATTTGCATGCAAATTTTTTTGAAGTTTTTTCCTCTAAGATTTTAGATATCTGGCCTTTAAATTAGTAAAGGGTGCTTTACAGCTTTTTTTGTTAAAAAATAAATTAAACTTATCATGATTGTTTCTTATATGATAAGTAACAGTATCAACATAAGCATAATTAAGCATATTTTTCTCTAGCTAGTACCAAAAACTATCTTGTTATTAAAGAAAACTTCCATAAGCAGATCTGTGATAACTTATCCTAGTAGAAGGATTTTTACTTGATTTTACGGTCATTGTCGTCTGACAAAAATAGAACTAAATCATGTAAATGTTTAGTAGGAGATACTCTGCTAGAATGTATGAAAAGAAAATTATTTTAGATTTTTGGGCTATGTTGCCAAGGGATAGATTTATAGGAGATGCTGGCCATTGCTTGGACATGCTGCCGGCCATTAACTTGCCAATGAGTTGTTAGAAATTTCTTCTAAGTAAGGAAAATGTGTAAAGGCATCATGTAGTGAAGGTGTTTAAATTTCTGTAATGGATTAAATATTTTGAGCATTTAATTTTTTAAAAAAAGGAATGATGTCTAGTGTCCCCAAATTTAGATATGTTAAAAAGAATATATGGGCATTTTTCTAAAATCAGACATTTAGTGAATTATTACTGTTGATTCTACATCAAACCAAAGTTTAGACTGGAAGCTAAGACACTGTAGCTCAGAGTGCATTCTGCTTAGCAACCAACTTGTCTACTGTTTTGCTACTGAATGCACGTACTCATGGCTCAAAAGTGTATCTGCAGCCAGCTGGTCTCAACTGGACAATACTTCATTCACCTAATTTCCAGACTAGTCAGGCAAAGACATCAGCTCATTGTTTTTAGTCGTGAGGAAATTTATTTGTAAACTTCAAGTAGTAGCACACTCATCTCAAAAGCCCCTGAACTCTGAGAAACTGCCTTCTAATTCAGGGATGTGAGGTCCTTGGGATTTAGAGCTGCTTCTCTTAATTTTTTTTGGTCTTAAAAACTCTTGCAAGTCTGTTGCTTAAAAAACTTAGTCTCTAAAATCTTGGAAAAGAGATAATAGCTCTTAGTAGAAAAAATACATTAAATTCTAGGAATAGTTTAGAGTTATTATCTGAAAATGAAAATTCAGGAAGTTTGATTTGTGTTCAAACTTTTATTATTTTCCCTCTTAGAAAACAACAGTTTTGTTGGCATGTGAAGCTCCAGTTTCCTCAGAGTCAAGCTGTGTACATAGAGAAGAGGTATAGTATCACCACTGTCTATTAAGAACTTACTTGTTTTTAGGGCCAGCCCCAGTGGCCTAGTGGTTAAAGTTTGGCATGCTCTGCTTTGGTGGCCCAGCTTCGGTTCCCAGGTGTGGAACCACACCGTTTGTCTGTCAGTAGCCATGCTGTGGCAGCAGCTCACTTAAAAAAAGAGGAAGATTGGCAGCAGATGGTAGCTCAGGGCAAATCTTCCTTAGCAAAAAAAAGAGAGAAAGAACTTACTTGTTTTTATTATGTCTCTGTATTTAAAATAAACTGTTAACTTAAATGTGATATCAGTAAATGTATGTCAGTAGTAGAATGGATAGCTAAGTTGTGATGTATATATATACACACACACACAATGAAATGCTAAACACCACTGAGAATGAATGAATTATACAGATACATCAGTGTGGATGAATCTCAGAAATAATGTGGATTGAGAAAAGCAAGTTAAGGAAAAATGCATTGAATGTGATTCTGTTTGTAAATATGAAAAAAAAAAACCCAGAAAAGGAAACAGTAGTTTTTAGGAATATCTACAGAGGTGGTGGTACTTTGAGGGAAATGATTAATGCAGAAATCCTGGTGTTTACTTCAGTGGGGAGAGCAGGTGTTAGGGAGAGATGCAGGGAGAATCAAGAGGGCTGAAAGCTTTCTATTTCTTAAGCTGGCTGGTTGCATAGGCGATAAAAAATGACCCAAAATTCTACTATTCAAAGATTACTACTATTAATGTCACACTGTGTCCTTCAGAAAATACATTAATTTAGACATGTATAGATATATACTCATAATTGTAATTAATTTACACAGTTTTTTATCCTACTTTTTTCATATTATGGACATTTTCAGGTATCATTTAAAAATCTTAATGGTTGTGTACTATTTGATTCCTTGGGTTAGGAAAATTTTAAAGTTTCTTTTTAAGTAATGTATTTAGCACATATCCACATTTTGCATAAATTTACTGTCTTTGTAATTATCCTATGGATTTTAGTGAAGAACTTTATTATTTGAGGTTGTTACCAGACTAAAGACAGAGAGAAGACTTAAATTTAGAGGTGGGGTATATAGCACACTAGTATATATGAATCTGTATAAATGATTGAGGAAAGTTCTAGTTCAAAACAGTGTCTTAATTTTGTTTCTACAGCCTTATAGTTTAAAACAATGTGCATACATACAGGAAAGTTGGAAAACCTAAAATACTTTGTTTCCAGGGAAAGCAGTATCAATTTTTTTAACCTGGTCTTATGATTTAGAATGAATAAACTTGAACATGCCCTAAAACTAGCTTCAACTGAAACTTTTTCTCAGATTTTTGATTTCTGCAATTTTCAAATATATTTCGTCCCGACTTCTTTCTTTTCATCTTTGAGCACAGGTGTGTGTTAATTATTTTTATAATTGATTTATAGGGAGCTTCTTAAAATATTGCTTTTTAAGATTTTGTTAAGTGTGTCCAAGAAGTCTTTTTGAGCTTTTTTTTCTAAGTAATTTTTGCTTAAAAGGATGTTATATTTTGCCAAGAGTGAAATAAAAGGTCTCTGTTCACTTGTTTAAACAAAAAAGCCACAAGATTTAGTAATTCTAAGTTAACACCTTTAGTAGAAAATTATAAATAATAAAAGTTTTGTTTTTGTTTTCTTTGTTGGGAAGAGTACCAGATGATAAAACTATTAATGAAATCCTAAGACCTTACATTGATCCTGAAAAGTCTGATCCTGTAATTCGTCAAAGGTATGTTTAAAAAATCTTGTAACTTTCTGAAATTATTAAAAATGTTGAGGTATTTATTATGTATCTATTTATTATGTAAAGTCGTGACTTTATTGGAATGTGATGTGTCAGTGCAGTTTACTTTCTGTGCCATTTCCTTGGTGTTTACTCAAGGCTTTGGCAGTGAGAAATGATACCTTTCAATAGTAATAATAACAGTACTTAAAACTTACTGTTTATACTGTGTTCCAGACACTCATTGAAGCAGATAATAATAAATGTATTAATTCATTTAAATGTCACAATAACCCTTTAAGGTAGATTACTGCTATTATACCCATTTTACAGATGGGGAAACTGAGCCTTAAAGTGGTTAAGTGATTTCATATAGCTATTAATAAGCAAGGAAGCTGGGATTCAAACCCAGCCAGTCTAGTGTCAGAGTCTGTACTCTTAACCCTTAAACTAAACTGCCTTTCAAGTTGAACCAAAAACTCTGAAAATTAAGAGTTTCCAAGTATCTGAGTTTCCAAAGACAGGAAATCCTGTTTCAGCCAAATCTTGATAAAGCTAAGTAAAATACACTCTGTCTCCTGTCCAGTAATACAGAATGGACAAAAAGGGTTAACATAGCATAGTGGAAAGATTTAGTCATCAATATCTGGGTTAGATAAATAGCTCTGTCCTTTATTAGCTATGTGATCAGGAGCAAATTACTGAACTTCCACGTGTTATTTTTTTCCATCAGTGAAATGAGAATGATGATATCTAAAAAATAGAGTTGTCATGAATCAGCCCTTGTGGTTTAGTGGTTAAGATTTGAAGCTTTTACAGCCATGGCCCAGTTTGTTTCCAGGTCAGGGAATCACACCACCCAACTGTTGGTTGTCATACTGTCATACCGTGTGTTGCTGTGATGCTGAAAGCTAAGCCACCGATATTTCAAATACCAGTAGGGTCACCCATGGTGGACAGGTTTCAGTGGAGCTTCCAGACTAAGAAAGATTAGGAAGAAGGACCTGGCCACTTACCTCTGAAAAAATTTGTTCACGAAAACCCTATGAATAGCAGTGGAGCATTGTCTGATACCCCACCAAAAGGTGAGAGGATTGCGCAAAAAGACCAGGCAGGGCTCCGCTCTGCTGTACAGAGTTGCTAGGAGTTGGAATCGACTCGATGGCACTAGCAACAGCAGCAAAGGGTTGTTAGGAGCTTAAAAAAATAGCATATGTGAAGTTCCTGATACAGGGCCTTGCACACAGTAGGCAGTGCTCAAATAAGGAAACTGTTATTAAAGTGTGAATTAGTAGTGTTCCTGGCAGGAAGCCAGTTGACTTTCTTTTCTCCAGATGGTACCTGCTTGGAATATGAGTGCTTGGTTTGGTTCCAGAGTAACCTAGTGTTTAAAATTTAGACTAGGTGGATTCTAAAGTGTCTGATCCAGTTCTACTTAAACCTCATTTTCTACTTTTGATAAAAGGTAGTGCCCAGACTGAACCAGATCCATGTCCCAAAGACAGCTAGAAAAGTTGAGTTTCTTTCCTTCTTATTACTGATAATCCGGTTGTTATCATTGGTCATATATTTGGCAGTAAGACAAAATACTTGTTGCTAAGTTGGCTCCATTTTTAGAAAATAAATAAGATTAATTTAATTTACTGAAATAGGTAATTTTTAATTTAAGATATTTAATTGCACAGAGAGAAGAAAGGTGATTTTTTAAAATTCAGAACCTTGGTTAGAAAATATCTTTAACCCCATTTCTGTGTTTGGATAGATGATTTTAAGTATCATCAGCTACTCATAAATGCTTAGTCTTCCATAGATGCTTGAGGTATACTTGAATCTTGAAATATACTAAAATAATCTTGAAATAAACTAAAAACCAATTTTATTTCCTTCAATATGACATTTTTATTTCAGGTTGAAAGCCTACATTCGCTCTCAGACTGGGGTCCAAATTTTAATGAAGGTGGAATATATGCAACAAAATTTAGTAAGGTAAAATTGCTTCCCTCCCCATTTCTTTAAATATTTGCTAATTCTATAATGTAACTAAGTATCTTGATTAGCTTAAGTAGCCAGTTATAATACTAATATGACTTTCAAACTAAAATTTTAAAATAATCACACTTATCATAATATAGGATAAATTCAATTGAAAAATCACCCTGGTTAGAATATTTTAAAATAACGTCATGTGCAACTAAAAGATTCCCCATAAAATCCCATTTTAACTTATTTCAAGAAATATTCTCTACAACAGAGTTCTAGTGTTCAGGTTTTTACCTGAATTCATGTGATCAACTGACCATTGCACATATTGCAGTGGAAAGAAAACTGCATAGAAATGTGAAGAGAGCCAGGTTCTAACAAACCATATGATTTGAGAAAGTTAGCGTCGCTGGGCTCTCTTCCCTTGTGAATGGGACGATGAAATAGACTACACTAACGATCTCCGCGCGTCCCTGCGAAGTCTGCTGAAGTGCCAGTTATGTGTCAGCATGCTGAACTACAAAACACTGATCTTTTAAGACCTGTGATGCTTTTCCCCTGTTTACTTAACAAACTTCTAAATCTGGTTCAGACTAGATCTGATCAGTCTCGTCTCTGATTTGCTTTGCTAGTATAGTTTACAGGTTTAAGAGTCCAAGTTGTGAAAGCAGAGCTGGGTTTGAATCCCAGCTCTGCCTGCTTCCAGTCACGTTAACTTGAGTAAATTGCATAGCCTCACTTGCCTTAGTTTCCTCATTCTCTAAAATGGGAATGATAATAACTGTAAGATTGTTGTGAGAGATTAAGATAATTCATTTAGCACATGGTAAGTGCATTCTTTTATCACTACTACTACTACTATTAATGTTGTTGCTACTACTACAGATAAATGAATTCTTACAAAAGGTCTACATATAAGATTAAGACTTTCATAGCTAAGAACGGATCTAAACAGCAAATCTTGACCACTTTTTTTAACCAACATATCTCAAGTACTCCCAGCGTCATATCATTGATCACAGTTCAGTGATGACAAATTCAAGTTTTCTGTCACATAGTCCTTTCCCTAAACTTCTTAGTTCAATGTATTTACATGCAGATCATGCTTTAACTGCCCTCCCTCCCCCAAAAGACTTGGGGTCCTAAATGAGAATAGGTTAGAAAGTTCTGTGGTTTCTGCAAAGATGGGTACATAGAGTTACAAAATCCGTGTTAACCAAAATCAATATTTCTAAAATTGATAATCAAACGTTTATGTAATTAATGAGAAATACTGGTGTAAAAGGTGTATTCTTTCAGTTTTGTTTAGCGAAATCCTAAAGTGAATTCCATATAATTCACGTTTAAACAAAGAAATTTGCATTGTTCCTTTGGAATTTACCTGTGGTTATTCATTAAATAATTCTTCCTTCTTTTATTATCTGTGTTTTCTCTTTTAAAATCAGTTCCTTTCTTAACATGCACCATATTTTATCTAGATAATTCATGTAAATATAATTTGTGTTTCATACCGTAGTGCGTATTTAATGAATATACTATGGCTTCAGTCTCATGAGCCTGTCAGAAGAACGCCTCTGAGGGTTTTCATGAAAAGTGAAGTTGCTTTTTGGATAGTTGTCTCATTTCATCTCCTCTGGGCCATGGAACTAATATGTACTCTCCCAGTCTTCTCCTGACAACCTAGTGTCATGTTCAGCCATTCTAACACTCTGTACCACTCTGAGCACTTGCCAACTCCTTGTCATAGATTGCCACTGTGAGGATAACATAGAAATGGCTCCAGAAGGAATGTGGAAGGGAGACAGTAGAAGTGCTATCCATCTTTATTCAGGAAATTTTTATGTATTTATTTTTTAAAGATTTGCATCTGAGCTCACAACTGTTGCCAATCTTCTCTTTTTTTTTTTTTTCTGCTTTTCCTCCCCCAAATCCCCCCAGTACATAGTTGTATATTTTAGTTGTGGGTCCTTCTAGTTGTGGCATGTGGGATGCCGCCTCAGCGTGGCGTGACAAGTGGTGCCATGTCCGCACCCAGGATCCAAACCAGCAAACCCTGGGCCACCAAAGCGGAGCGTGTGGACTTAACCACACCACCACAGGGCCGGCCCCCAGGAAAGTTTTATTCTTAAATGCAGCAGGGAGAATAAAACTGATTGCCTCATGATTTCCTTTGTATGTACATCTGACCTTGAATAATTGTGAATAGTAGCCACTGGCTACTATTTTAATGGCTGTGTGAATTGGAGTCTTTATTCTATTTTTTTGATTAATAAGTCTGTATTTGATACACCAGATTGCTTTTACAGAATTAAATTACTTATTTTGGTGAGTTTGGGCATTGACTTGACCATTCTCACCTTATTTACCTAATCTGTTAGCCAGACAATTAAAACTTCTTTACTAAAGCTAAAGAAAGCAACTTGTATCATTTTGTTACAACTGCTAAGAACAAAAGGTTTGGGTTTTTTGTTTTGTTTTGTTTTTGTTTGTTTGTTATGGTTTTGTTTTATTTCTTTGTTGTTTCCATTTTTATTTCCTCCATTACCTAAAAGGGAAAGTTTGTTGTATTTCCATTTTAAGTCAAGGCAAACTGGTCTGTAGCCAGTGAAGAAATGCGCCAGCTCACTAAGTTGGTCAAACTTGACTCTTTGGCAAAATATCCTCTTTCTCCAAAATTCAAGGAAACTAAAATTTTATGTGATAAAAGGTAAATATAGGATACTGAGTATTTTAAAGTTTATTGTATAGAACGGACTGCTTGGGCCCAGATCGCATTCATTTTTAACTTGGAAATGTGTTCTGTAAATCCACGGAGAGGCAAAGGGGGTGGAGATCTTAGCCTGTCCTGGCAGACCAGGGTTTTCTAGGGCCGTGGCGGCAATGCCTACAGCATGACATGATCCAAAGGGAACAATCGGGAAAACCATTTCATGCAGTTGCATAGAAAGAAATCAGGATACATAGAGACCAGAACACAGGAGGATACTAGTCAGATTGGTACGGTTTCTTTGAACCAAGAGGGTAAACCTGAACAAAAAAACGATCAAAGAAGTACACTGAAATGAAGGTCCGTGACCTAATTGTAGACACTCAACTTCTCTTTGCTTCATTTTCCTTTAAGATCCTTTATTTTCTCTTATTTTATGACCTTCTTTCTTTAGGAACCCAAAGGGGACCAAAGCTGGGCCTTGGGTTAACCTTCCTAATCCCCGTAAGGGAAGGAATGATGGATTAATTAAAGTAAAAGCTGAGTGGCGTTGACTTTAAGGAATACCTAGAATAGGCTGTTTTGATACTAAACCTGAGGTAGACTGAGTAATGTGAAAGGAGTTTGACTTTATCCTATTTACATAGGAAACTTGTCATTCAGATTTCCCCATTTGAGTTGTTTAGTTGAACTCAATGATATATGAGAATACTACCAAAGAAGAAGTGGAAGGTTACAACCCAGGTCCTGGAATTTTGGATTTAAAAATGGCCACCATACTTAACTTTGAGTAGTGATGACATCACTTTTAGGCAATAATAACGTCAAAAACCCAATTGAGGTAGCTTTTATCCTGAAGGTGGACCCAAATTGGAGTAAGATACATCCTTATATTTATAATTGTTAAGTCAGTCTCAAGACTTAGGTATCCTAATTTATACAAAACTTCCCAGTTTTACAAGTATTTTCTAGTCATGAATAATGAAATTAGATACTATGGAGATTCATTTAGAAATAGATTTTTATTTTGTTTTTTTTAATTAAAGATTTTTAAACCTATGTGTTCTCCAGATAGTACATTCATAGGCTAAGATGATTTGATTTATACTTAATACAAGTTGTATTATTAAAGGAAAGTACATTCAGACAACATCTAAGTAAGATTATCATAGGTTATAAAATGTTAGGTTTCTAGTTTAAGATAAGCATGCTAAATAGGAGAGTTTTGTTCTTTCCTCAAAAGTGCTTAGAAGGCAGAAACATGTAGTTTCCTTGTGGCTGTTTGATTTTAAAAGTATCCTACGATTTATAGCATTTCAGTAACTTCAGAATAAAGTCTTTTTACCAAACATTTGATGTTGCCAATTTTCACTGGTGATGTTTTCCATTCTTGGAGGGTTTATGACAATTGTCTCTTGATACACCTACTCAGCTAGAGCAGTCTTTTTTTTTTTTTTAAAGATTGGCAACTGAGCTAACAGTTGTTGCCAATCTTCTTCCTTTTTTTTTTTCTTTCTACTTTTTCTCCCGAAATCCCCCCAGTATATAGTTGTATATATTTTTTTTAGTTGTGGGTCCTTCTAGTTGTAGTACGTGGGACGCTGCCTCAACATGGCCTGAGGAGTGGTGCCATGTCCGCGCCCAGGATCTGAACCAGAGAAACCCTGGGCTGCTATAGCAGAGCACGTGAACTTAACCACTGGGCCACAGGGCTGGCCCCAGCTAGAGCAATCTTGAATGTTTCCCAGGCTTTAGCTTTGCCCATACACAGCTGTTGTTTTTAGATTTAGGTGATCATAGAATGCATGTCTAATCCTAAGGAATTTGCTGCTGATCTATTTTGGAATTTTCTTTCCAGAATACAGAGTTTGAATTTGTGTCTTTTTATAAAAGCTAATATGACTTCTTAAGTAAATTCATTTATTCATTCAGCAAACAGTACCCACTATGGCCTGGGTACTGTTCTAGACATTAGGGTGATAGCAGTAAGGAAAACAGTTCCTGCCCCTGAAACTCACATTCCCAGTGGAGGGGACTTCATGTAAGGTGCTTATGTTAGCAAGTCCACACTTACTCTCTTGCCACGTCATTTCTTACCAGCTTTCTATTCTCAGAAAGTAAATTAATGATTTAAAGCAGAAAAGCTTATATTGGTAATGTCGGGCACTGTAAGAGGCAGCCATTGTATTGCTGCTCCCTTAAGTTATCACTGAATGAAGAATTTAGAATACACCAGCTTTGATACTGTCCATTCAATTGTAATTTTCCACATCTGTTAAATTTTAGGCTTGTATTTTAT